ATTATGGACTGATTAGTTGTGTTACTCGTGTTTCTAATAGTTTTGTTTAACCCTATGTTTGTTTTTACACTTTAGCTGATACGAGTGCTCATAGGTTCCCTCGTGAGTTCGATCAAAGTTTCGCTCGGAAGATTCACTCGTAAAAGTTTCACCATTTATAAACCCAATGTGAGCTTGGAGGATCGACGAGCAAACGTCTCGAGGGATCAAAGACATTCAGCGTCTACACAGCTTACTACCATGTGCTTACTGCGACGAGTATTAGTCGAAACTTTCTCGAAGGAAAGTCGAATTCTATTTCAACGTCGCGGCAGTTACTTCGAAAAGTCGACAGATGCATCCCGGTATTATCTCGGAAAGTCGATAGCAATTGGTCTGCCGTTGACATATCGACGTGTTTACATCTGAATGAGCGACGAATTTGCATATTCTGACTCCTAACATCAGTGCTTTATACGCTTCGCGTATCCACGACTAAAAAATAAAGTGGGTCAAGGAATCAAAATTACGCTTCTCTTTGCTTTGTAGTTAATCATATGAAAATCTGTCTTTCTTGGGAGATTTATTACTTGTACTCTCACAAGTGGCGGTCGTGACCGAAGCGTTACATTGAATTTGTTGATAGGTTCGTGACGAAAGTACAGAAATATGATAGGTGATTTGGGTTGATTGATTGTGAGATCGGAGTTACTCGTGAGTAGAATAGTGAAAATGCTGTACACCAAACCAGTGTGATATTTTGTCGCGAGATCATTTAGGACATGGACATTAACTCACTTCTCCTTCAACATTTCATCAACAGATTGTCTGGTACATGACAATTTTGAATATCTTCAAGTGTTAAAGTAAGGGTTAGATACGAAAGCTAAAATTACGGGAAATGAGTGGCAGACCGTGACAAAAGCGACCACTTATCATTTTATTGCCAGCGAAGGGGTGGCTTATAATTTTTTGGGGGGACCATATGGTTTTCAGGTGAACGGTGAGGGGCTCTGTCACTCACGAACAGACCTTAAGAGGCACTGTAGAAAATCGAGTGTTTTTTATTTGTTTGTTTTCCCATTCACCCCTATCCCCTTCTTTAGAACCTCGCCACCCAGGCTACATTTACCTGATAGGGGTCAATCATTAAAATTCAATTGGTAGAATGTAGGGAAAATGTATGTAACCTGATATTCCATTTGAATAAGCTTGATTGTCGTGCAGCTGTAAAAGGAACTTGAGATGACTAGGTACACATCGTGAGAGCAATTCAAGAACACATTTAGTCAAGGATGGAAACATACCTCCAAGGACTTCTTTATTTCAACAGTTACAGACATTAATTAAGACATCGATTTAATAAAAAGTTCTCAGTCTAATCCAATGCAGCAGCTTCCAAGATTATCTCAGTTGTATGTCAAAGTCAACTTGTTAATCATTTCACCTTACGGGAGATGGACCACGACTTGGTTCCCCGCGTTTTCCTGCGGTTCAGGAAGTTTAATTGGTTTTACTTTGAATTGTCATTGGCTCTTAAAGTTTTTTTCGTTTCTTCAAGTTGGCCGTTGCGATTAGTTTGGGGTTTTGTTTTACGACACTCAATCGAAATGCTCGATCCAAACAATTACGGTAAGCCATTTACGAGAACCACAAGGCTCCTGTTGAGGCAAAGATACTCGTAAAGCCTTTGTCTTGACACACATATTCATTCTCAACCAAACAATTCACTTTTGCACCCCAAAGGTTTTGCAATTCGCCTCAGTTTTAAGGTGAGGGGGTTTTAAACTTGAAATTGGCACAAGTTCATTTATTATTTCTTATCTATCAACCTGGCCGCAACACCGGAACATCGAGTAGTTATCCAGTGCAAATTCAACTCTTTAGCAGCATGAAAATTTAAATGTATATTTACAGTCGAGTGTGGGCTTCGCCTTGAACAAGTGTTTTAAAACGAAATGCTTAGGGAAGAGCTCTCCATGTTGGTTACTTCACATGTTGTAAGGTAAGTTTTAGTTGAGAAAGATTATTTGTAATAATTTATAAATCTTGCAATAGAGGTTTTATTACACAGACGAAGCATGTCAAAAGGTCTTACAAGTCCGGCAATTAAAACACACTGTAGGATTAGAAGATGAAATATGAACAATGTTGTAAAACTATGAAACTTGATACCGTTTAAGGAGAAATTGTATGAGTAAGTTGTGATTTGATTCAAGGATATAAATATATGAATCAGGGGTGGATCCAGGATTTTGAGTGAGTAGTTTCCACCCGAGGACCCACTCCTGCTAGGGGGGTTCGGGGGCATGCCCTCCCGAGAAAATTTGAAATTTGGAGCTCTCTAAAGGCCATTTCATGCATTTTTAGAAAATTTAATTGCCCCCAAAAGACTAAAATAGCATGTAATCAAAAAGGCAAAAAACATTTATTTTTCTTGAAAGTACTACAGGAAACACTCTGATCTACAAATATTCCACCTTTAGCTACTGTGCAAACCAGTGTATATAGTGTTTTCAGGAAGGCCAAGTCATCACCAAGACTTTTCACACTGGAAAACATCACCTCCCAGTCAGGAAAATCAAGATGTGGAGAAAAAAAAACGAACCAAGTGTTAGTGTTTTTGATAACAAAAGAAAAACAAGCACAATTGATGATATAGTTTAAAGATTGATAATAAAAATCCTCTTGCCTTTTTTCATCCTTGGGACCACAGGCTTACCATCCATAAAGCCCTTCTCTCTCTCAAATTTCTTCTGTGTTGTGCTCCTATAATGAATGAAATGAATGAAAGCCAGGCTCAATAAATCCAAATGTTTAGCAACACTAAAAACAACATTTCCTGAGCTGGCTTTTATTCATTTCATTTATAGGAGCACAACACAGAAAAGAATTTGAGAGAGAGAGAAGGGCTTTATGGATGGTTAGCCTGTGTTGGGAGCTGGAATTAAAAAAAATAAAACAATTATTAGAAAAATATAAATTATAAGAATCATAAAATGATATACAAATTGAAGTAAAATGATAATTTGAAATAATACTAGCCTTTCTTCATCCTTGGGAATTGCTGTGAAGCTGGTTGAGTTCAGTGAAAATGTTTGTTAACCATTTAAGCTTAACATGAAAACCCAATGTCAATGTCAATGGAAAATCATCACAAGTAAAACAAAATAGAAAATAACCTTGAAATGAGTTGAAAAAAAAAGTTATACAGGCACCAGTTTGAGCTTCTGTACTGTTCTCCATCAGTTTAAGGATTATGAGACTTAAAGGCCATAACCCAGACAGAACATAACTCACAAGTACTCTAGAAACAGCTGGTGCAAAAAATTATTACAAAATGTTTGCCATTCTCATTCTCCTAGGATGTAACTCAGCAAATAAATCTATTATACGTTCAAGGTCAAAATCCATGTCTCTGTGGGCATGCATCAGTGCCAATCCATTCAGTCTTTCCTGGGTCATTGTATTTCTCAAATAGTTCTTAAGATTCCGAAGGGATGATATGGATCTCTCACAAGATGCAGATGAAATTGGAATTGTGATCAGGACTTTCAGCATGGAATAGATGTTGACATATGCATCTTTGTCAATATCCTTCAGTGTAGCCTCAAACTGTCAGGAATAATATCTCCTCTGTTATCCCTCCCCTTCCACAATCTCTCCCATAACAAAAGCTCTGCCTGTAATCCTGCATAATTTGGTATGTCCTGTCTGTAATGGTTACAAAATTCCAAAACATTGGCCTTCCAGGCAGGGTCAGTAGCTAGTAAAACAGAGGGAATAATCGAAATACCTTTATAGCAAACAAATACATCATCCTGGAATCTGGTGTTGAGCTGCTGGAGTACATGGTCAAGAAAAACTCTAGTGAGATTGATCTTGAAATACCCCTCAGGAGTTGCAGCAGGAGCATTATTTCTATGCATTTGTCTCTGGGCTATCCTTGGCATTTCTGGCTGGACTGCTACTTGTCTTGCAATGGTCACTGCTTCCTGGTAGAGATTATGATGTCTGTTATCAATGTCAGTGCTCATGTCTTCAAGGACTGATTTCAAAAGAGCAAGTTCATCTTTAGCTTTTAGAAGATCCATTGCTTTTTTTTTGTTGCAGCTTCACTGTGAGTGGTCTAGTTAATCCCAAAATATGTCTGACAATAACAAGAGAAACAATAAAGGAAAAGTTGATTGCATTAATTAAGGACTGAGCATCATGTCTGCTTGTTGGATTCCAGGTTGAGTCTCCAGGGCTGTTTCTGTTAAGTGAGATGTCTTCAAGTGTAGCTGTGACTGGGTAGAGAAGTTCAACTATGCGGTCCATTCCATCAATCTGTTCAATCCATGTTGCGGCACACATCAATTAAAACAGTATGGTTTGCCCGAGGCAATAGTTCTCTGATCTTGGCTATTAAATGTTGTTGACGCTTGGGAGAGTTGTTAAAAAAATTAGAAATCTTGCGCACAATATCCATCATGTTCCTGACAATTGGCAATTGGCAAGTGTCTGCTATGCACAAATTAAGCCTGTGGTTCATGCAGTGGACATAGATTGCCTTTTCGTGTTCTGCACTGATCAATGAGGAGGCTCCATTTAGTCTTCCAGCCATATTGCCTGCACCATCATAACACTGCCCATGACAGTCTTCCATTGTCAATCCTAAGTTTGCTACAGCTGCAGTTATAATGTCCTTGATAGCCTCCCTGTTAATCCCTCCTCACAAATGTAATACCCAATAAATTCTTCTCGGATGGTTTTAGTTGTATCCAGAAATCTTATTACTACAGAAACATTCTCCTTATTTGAAATGTCAGCAGCTTCATCTGCCATAACTGAAAAATACTTACTATTTCTTATTTCCTGTGATAGATCATTCAAAATGTGAGCACCAACAGTTTCTATCATTTCATTCTGAATGGTCTTTGAAATGTATGTGGCATTTCTGGGTGCAGTGTCCAGGTGTTGCTGCAGTGTTTGGTCACCACTGTCTACCCGGAATTCTAGCAATGCCTGGAAATTACCGGTTAGGGCAACATTAGTGGGATCATCATCTCTCTCCCCCCTGAGTGGGATGTTGTTTTCCCACAGAAAATAATAGTTTTGAAAAGGGACTTTAGAATCTCCCGATTTCTCGCGATTTGCTGTTGAACTATGTTATTTAACTGCTGGTCAATTGGGACAGCTCCTCTTTGCATCATTCTCTTGAAATCATTCATAGCAGTCATAGAAAAATTGTGAATTTCACAATTTCCTAGCGAGTGTTTGGTTAAGCGAGAAGCGGCCGAAGTCCAATTTGTGAGAGGAGACTTCAATAATTTGTCTAACTTATTAGCGTTTCGCCCACACTGAACTCCAAAACAAACACAAGCTAAACAAAATGCTCCATCGAAATATTTGGAGTAAGCTAGCCATGGAAATCTTTTCAGCCAGCCCGAGACAAACTTACGAGATTTTCCATTTTCCATTGACACGGAGAAATAAAAAAGCTCACCTGGTTTCCACACGTTTTCGACGAACTCCAGCTTCTGATGCGGCGAGTAGTTGTGGATCTCGTCGAAAACTAGGCCAATGTCGAAGGGAGAACAATCCTCCCTCCGACAAACAGGTTCAAAAGTACTTGTATTGTAGGAGCAACGAAAGAGACCCGCTGGGGGAGGAACTGCCCTTTTTATACTTTGTCAGTAGTTTCCAAGGTAGTTTCCAAACACAACTAGCCAATCAGAAGAGTGTTTTGAGTGAGTTCCGATGACGAAATCTTTGCTAGCCAATCGTGAGGGGTTTTGAATGTGTTCCGCCTGTTATTGTCACCAAATAACAAGGACTTACACCCACCGGTTGCGTAAAGATTGGCTCCACGAACATTTTCCGACGGCTTCCGACGGTTTCCGAGGTGTAATCGAAGCTCGAAAGGCCAGCGCGTGATCCGGAGCGCTCCCGAACGCCTCATGACCGCAATTATAACGAAATTAGTCATTCTAAACGTATTTTCTTTAATAAATAACTGTAAAACAGGAAGATGGTTTATTTCTGGAAGACGTTTAGTGATTTCCACAAAAGTATCAGTAGTTTCCAAAGGGAAATTAGAGTGTTTTCCAAAAGTACTTTTATTAACATTTAACTAGGTCGGAAAAAATTTGAGTGAGTTCCGGAAATCAGGTAAACTACCCTGGATCCACCCCTGTGAATGAGTACATCGATAACAACGAAAACAAATTTAAAATTATGAGAAATTCAGTTCATTATCGAAAGTATCACATTCAGAATGTAATCTTTAATAAATGCAGTAAGGGCAACATGTAGATAACAACGATTGATAAAAATAAGATATTTGAGATTTTTAAAAAGATTGAGAGTGTGCTACCTCAGATTAATGGTGATCGTAAAAGAATGATAAACATCGATTTCATTTTAAAACAAATACTTATGATGATGAGATCACAATACAAACATTTTCCAACTTTCAAATAAAAAAAACGTCAGAATTTTATGAGAAATATTGGAATATTGAACATTGGTCTAGTTTCTTTCTTTCTGAAATTTTGTCGTGGTTTTTATTAATTGGTAACAGTACTTCTTGTCGTCCAATTCGGTCTGTAATCATACTCGTGACTAACAGATCGGACTCCCGCCTCGCGGTCGTTCGATTTGTTAATCACTCGTATGATTACAGACCGAATAGGACTCCATTCGGTCCTATCGTTATTATAAATTCAATCGTTTGAAATACTAATATGCTCTCCTGTATAGCCAAAATTTTTTTTATGATAAAGTTTATCCGATGCTTTAATCTCGTCTTATTTATTTTTATCAATGTTCTTGTCTAGATGATTAAAATCAAAAGTCGTTTTAGCTCTTTCCATATGTATAAGCACGATATATAAAATTAAATTTTTTTGAGTAAAACACTGCTGTTAGATCCTCCATCCAATAATCCACCACTTGAAGGTGAATTCGTAATCTTGATAAATCCCCTTTTGTGGAATGGAAGACATGAAAAACATTGATATCGATCCATTTACCATTTGTATCTTCAAGATTTGAACTAAGAATGAGGCTTTATCTTTAGACATTCGTATCTTGAAATTAGAAATGGGACCTTTTTAACCATCCTTGAAATGAATCTCATAAAACCACTTTCTTGCTTAATTAATGCATTCTTGATAATCCTCAAATAGGCGCTATTTGACATCAAAACATTAGCTCCACTCGAAACGAATCTCATTTCTGTATTATTGTTATATGTTAGGTTATTACAGTGGTGGAATCCGCCTGTGACAGCATCATCAAATGTTTTTTGGTGTTTGGGTTGTCGTCATTTTTGGCGGTGTCTTGTATTTTGAACTGCTTTGTCATTTTAGTTAGCGTTTGAAATTCAAGAGTGCAATTTTATAGTTCACAAATTTGTCCCACACACTAGTCGGCACATCATTCTGGTACCCTTTAACACCATATAAGACAAAAAAAATTTGAAAATCTTGTGTATAACCAACGCCAGCTTTAATTTTTTAAACCACATCAACCGTGAGATAAGTTGGAGTCTTATTTTTATATTTATGTAGATGGATTATGCTTCGGCTGTGATTATTAAGCAAATTAGTTGATGTTCTCGAAAATGTCTCAATAGTATTAGTGGCAGATATTTGAACTGTTGAAATGTCAATTAATGAAGGAAAATACAGTTAGAAAAAGACAGAATATTCACCAGTTTGAATTGGATATGAATTTAAACCCACACGATTACTATAAAACCTTTTGCTTGAATCAAGATGAAGCTTCATCTCATAGGTAGGTTTTTTTTTACTGTGTGAAGGTCTTTATGAGTAGTTTGGACACCTGTTATATCATCTTCGTCACTAATTAAAATTCAGAAGAAGAGTTATCCATAAGATATTGAAACGCGTTTTTCTTGTCTGTAATTGACACAGAATGATTAAATCTGTCATCAACGTACTTCTCATATTTAGTCTGAATAATGGTTTGAAGGTTTGCATTGCTATTAAAGAGTTCTTTAATAAATAAACCAACATTAGCTGCATGAGTTCTTCATATGATTAAGGCTCTTTGAAACCAGTCATACTCTTTGCATTCATGTTCAAACCACCGGTCATTGCTATTGAACCATCAACTCGCTAAAACTTATTTGTCTTTGTATCAACAAACCGTTTGTTTGTTCCTTCTGTTGGATTGGTAGCGTCACCCAAATTAATTGATCAGTTTGGTCCTTTCATATCGAGCCCACAGGACAAATTCATACCAAATGCTCTCGAATCAACGTATGATTTAATTTAGTGTTAACAACTGGGTTGAAAACGTAAATTAGCCACCGTAAAGGGTAAAAAAGCTGACGTTTCGAGTGTTAGCCCTTCGTCAGAGCGATTAGAGGAATTGTGGGTTGTGTGTGGATTTATATGTAGAAAGTGGAGCTGCGCCATTGGTGGGAATATGGTGTCGAGAAAACAGGAATAAATTAGTTGAATGAAAAGCGCTCGTTGATTCCGTGGGGATTAAGGGTGCCGATTTGAAATATAAATTTTTGTTCTAGTGTTTTACGGCTTATTAATTATTATTACACCATATTCCCACCAATGGCGCAGCTCCACTTTCTACATATAAATCCACACACAACCCACAATTCCTCTAATCGCTCTGACGAAGGGCTAACGCTCGAAACGTCAGCTTTTTTACCCTTTACGGTGGCTAATTTACGTTTTCAACCCAGTTGTTAACACTAAATTACCTGCTATACTCTCCCACCGACGCAGCACCACAGTTTCTTTAGAAACTTACCCCTTTATTCAACGTATGATTTGTTTACTACGTCTTTATCAGAGCAATCTCCTCTATTGTGATCTGGGATAAGTATCCTACTCTTTGTCTAGGGTATTAAATTTTCCTTATATAGACTTTTTTGTTTGTTAAGTCGATCAACCGGCTGAGGTTTATAGCATCATCATCGTATTGTGCTCTTTTGAGGTCCGTTATCGTTTCGTCTTTTGCATCTCATCGATCATCATTTTATATTTTTAAGAATTTGTAATCATCCACCTTTTTACGATATCTCATTTCACAAAATAATTTATTAACTGCTTCGTAAGTACTCACCGGTGTGTGCACATTTTTCATTCTATTGCTGCTCAGATTGATGTCATTTAGAAAGGCTTCAGGGCCATCGAGAATACTATTTGCAATAGTGTCAACTTATTTCTTGTTTGAAGCGTCTGTTTGATTGACCGGGTACGTGTGTAGTTCACAAGTTTTTACGTGCGGGCTGTAATGCCTGCTATGTCGGCGAAACCTCTTGGCATTTATTCACACGCGTGCGTGAGCACTTGGTCAGTGATAGGACATCCCACAGTTTAAGACATTTACAAATTTCTCAACAATGTCGCACTTTATGTTCTGATGAGTGTTTTAGCATCTTAGATCACGCTTCCACAACTCTCCAACTTAAAATCAAAGAAGCTATCCACGTTTAATGGGAGCAACCTACACTTAATCATCATCTTTATCCTTTTAATATAGAACTTTCCTTGTAATTGCATACATTGTTTTGTTTCTGTTGTTTGTTTTTCCAATGAGCATTTTGTTATACACTTTAAATTTGTATAAATCAGAACTGAAGATGACAGAAGAACTATCGAGACATGTTTTTAAGAAATCTCGTATATTTTCTTAAATTCTTTGGTATATATTTTCGAAGCTATCACTTGACCTGAGAACAATAGCAGTCTGATGATTTGTTTCCTCGGGAAAGCCCCCCTGGTATTACTTCCCTGTTTTCTGGGAATGTCACACAATGGAAAAATGATGTGAGATCACAGCATTAGTCTCCTATAGTATTTGAACGCTTTGATATTATAAAATGATTCCATCAAATGATTTCGTTAAAAATTTCCATAATATGGAAAGTAGTATAGAGAGTTGGCGTTTTCGTACACGGTCACTTTGTGGTCTCGCCCCGCCAACTCCCTGTACTATTCATTTGAATGTAAATCACTCGCGCGTGCCCAAAGAGATATCGATGATATTACAAATAAAATACATTTTGCTGATTTTTGTGACTTTACAGTCACCACCACCCGACGAAAATCAACATCGGTTGATTGGGACTCACTGGGGAAATTCGAAGGTGAAGATGTCTTGCAATAAATGTTCACAACTGTTCTTAACTGTCCTTCTCAAGTGACGAACTCATTAGTACAAAGCGGGTTTTACGACTTTACTCTGTCATAAACTATTACACTCTTGAACGGATTTTTCGACATGTTCGGGCAAAACTCGAAAAAAATAAAAAAACAATAAATTGAAACTGGGGGAAAGAGTTGTCCAAGCAGAATCTCTATAACAAGTTTCTTTTCAAACTCTTCTCTTCCGTCCAGTGAGTTTGTGTCAAATCAGTTGTATGGAATTCTGTACTGTTTTAACTCAAAGTTGGTCAGTTTGAATACTTTGCAAAACATTTCAA